TAGTATTTTTTCCATAAACGACGTAATTCACGGTTAAAGGTGAACATCGGATCACTTTCATAAGTGAAATTAACCCGAATCTCTTTTTTATTCCATTGTTGTTGTTGTTGTTGTTGCATTTCTTTTAATGAACATTGATTGTGATTAAGAAGGGTGCCGTGTTGTTCTTTCTTGTCGTGTTGGTGTAATTCTCTATAAGTATCATGATCTAATTGTTCCATCAGTGACATGGTATTATTTTGTTCAGTGTCTGGAAGCGGAAGTTTAAAATTTGAAAATAATTGCGTTAAATTAACTTTGTAACATAATGAAAATATTGTAATCCAAAATATGAAGTACTATTATTGGTTGGAAGAAATAAAGGAATGTGTTCTAGTGGAAAGTTTATTCAAGAAAAAAAAGGAAATATGAAATGGAAATGTTTTTATGGAAAGATACTGTTGCAATTCTAACGTGAGAGTGATAGCTAATAAAGTTTGATTTGTTTTTTTGTCTAAGTTATTCTGTGGAGCTGTTGTTCATCGTGCTTCCATTTTGGTTAACATTTCTCGTGGAAGTTTTTTATGTATGAACATATTTTCAAGGGTACGATTGGTATTAGCGATTAATCGTACTTTAACTTGTTCAACTGGTGATCCTGGGAATGCATAGAAAGCTTTCCACCATTTGCTGAATTCTTTTCGAAAGTTGATTGTCAGTCCAGTATCGAATAAATAACGTGGAAACATCAATTTTCGATTCCATATCTTTTCTTGTAATACGACTGGTGTTCTAATTGGATCTTGTGTCATGATTTGAAGTTGTTTGTCACGACGTGTCGGTTGATATAATAAATTTTGATGTAAACGGGAATAGAGGTGTTCATTTAAGTGATTGAATACAGGCATTGCATTATTTAGATGAAAAAATCGGTTGAAGTGTTGAGTAATAAAATGCGGTGGATAGCTATTTAATAATAAGGATATATCAATACGAGTACATTCTGAATTGAAATCATTGACATGTGAACAGATGCGAGCTGCACGTAGTAATGCTGCATATGGAATATTTCGATGTATATGACGGGGATGATCTGAGGTATATGGTAAAATACAAGGTTCAGCAGTTGGTTTATGGAAAATAGATGTTCTTAATTGACCATTATCATTTGTAATAGTTACATCGAGAAAATGAACAGATGTACTTATTTTGGGTTCAATTTTAATATTGATATCTTTGTTTTTTGCTTTTTCAAGTTCAAAATGAATTTCATCAATGGTTTTATTTGTTGTCATAAAGATATCATTAATATATCTACACGAACGATAAGATTATATTTTTTTGTGGATATTAGACGTAGTTTACTAATCTTCCATAGATTTCTTTATGTACTGTTTGATGTTGAATCAAATCTTGTTCTCATTCCAACATATATATATTTGCTAATACTTGTGTAAATGCTGAACCCATAGCTCCACCACGAATTTGTTTATAATATTTATTGTTATAAGCAAAACAGTTAGTATCCAAAATTAAACGAGCCACTTTCATAATATGATCAATTGTAAATGTGCCAATTTTGCCATGGAGAGAATATTTAATACAAAATAGAGCCAATGATGCTAATGCGCCTTCTCGTGGTATCATTGTATAAAGATTTTCAACATCGATAGTAATAAATTTTGTTGTTGATGTAAGATAACCATCTGTAGCGTATTTTTCTAGTTGTCGAATAACATCGATATCATTAATAAATGTATATTTACGATTAACAGTTATAAATATTGGTGCTAAAAGATCATTCAATAATTTCGATGCCGGTGTTGCAGGTGCATGGATACATGCCACTATAGGTCGCAATGGTGTTTCAGGCTGTAAGAAAAGAAAAAGAATAAATATTAATATATTAATATATTGATTGACATAAATTTACTTTATGTGGTTTAGGTGACCATGATAATGACCTAATTCTGATTTATTTAATTTTGGACATAATTGATTACGTAGTTTTT